TTGGATGAGTTCAAATTTTGATATTTGTGTTTATCAACTATATAGATTTCGAAATTTAAACTCATTTAACGATGATAAACATGATGGTGAGTATCGTCATCACTTGAGGGTGCGGTGAACAAAATTATTTTCCAAAAATTTGGTATCTCTTGCATTTTTCTTTGTGCATTGTAGCTAGCTAGAGTACTACATCATCTTCTAGAGGACACCTACCAAACATGCAACAAATTGAATGAGGATCCTGAGAATCTTCAAATCGTATCCGTTCATCGTACATCATGTGATCAAAAATTATTTTAAACATTTTTATTTAAAATTAAATATGAATAGTATCTGACAAAAATTGACCGCACGATATACGATGAACGAACACAATTTAAAAATTATCAAAATCCTCACAAAGAGGATCCGGAGAGAATCCTCATTCATAGAGAATTATATCCATGCACTATTTTTTTAGCAACGCAAGGAATCATTTCTATATATTCACTTTGGAGTACTGCTATAATATATTTTGGCAATATAATTTCTTTAACGGAAATCCAAAAACTTAAAAATAAAAAAAAAATAAGGAAAGAGAATTAAATCAACTAACTTCGCCCCCTTTTTCCTAATTGATCTGATCATAATTTTTTAAGTATTTAATTATAATCTTTACTTTGTGTAAGTAAATATGACCTTGATTGTTTAATAACATAGTGTATGAAATATTTTGTAAGAAATTAAAGATTACACTATTCCTATATATAGCGGCTCACCCCAATAATTAAAGAAGGTGGCCAATAATTAAGTAAATATGACCTTGGTTATTTTATTTTTTATTTTTTATCAAAGATATTTTTTTCATTAACAGCCAAAAGGAATACAAGACTAGATCAGCGGCCAACTGTAGGGGAAATTTTTAATTGACGGGAACACAAGTGGTATACTACGTGTTTTAATAGGAGTGGTGAAAACTTTTATTTTTTAAGTTATTAACTTTTTAGCACACATATCCTACCATTTGCATAATGACACGTGGGGTACCATCTCGTGTATCGATCAGAAAAATCTCTCAAACAGTAGGACCATATAAAGAGGAAACTAAAGTACGGAGAAGCAAGGAGTTAAAGGCAGATAAAGAAGACCACCAGCCTTGCTGCGTCGCTGACCTTAAGAACCAAGCATCCACAAAAAAATAGTGTGGGCAGGAGAGGCCATCAATGGACAGGATGTGAACTAGAGCGGATGGGGGTCTGGAAGCCCAAACTTTCGGACACATCCCTCTATGGATGACGACCCCCAAACCAGTTCAGATGGAGTCCTTAGACCAAGAAGCAAATCAATTAATTTTCATGAAGGAGGGATGAGGAGGTTGCCAGGGAACAGAGACATCATCAGGGGTGATCAAAGGTTGCTGGAGAGGTTTCAAGGGGTTGGCTGCATAGAACTCCTCCATGGATGTCATGGCCCTCAAGATAGTGCAGGAAGGAGAGGGAGGAGAGTCATTAAAACAAATATGGTATCAATGGACTAGAGCGGATGGGGGTCTGGAAACCCAAACTTTTGGACACATCCTTCTGTGGATGACGACCCCCAAACCAGTTCGGATGGAGTCCTTAGATCAAGAAGCATCGCAATTAATTTTCATGAAGGAGGGAGGAGGAGGTTGCCAGGGAACAGAGACAACATCAGGGGTGATCAGAGGTTGTTAGAGAGGTTTAAAGGGGTTGGCTGCATAGAACTCCTCCATAGATGTCATGGCCCTCAAGATAGTACAGGAAAGAGAGGGAGGAGAGTCGTTAAAACAAATATGGCACATGGCCTTCCAAATTTCCCAGCATATGAAATCAACGGTAGAGAGAATGCGACCTTGATTAAGGGTGATACCCTCCCCTAGCGAAGCCAGAGCAACAAACCATTGGTCAAATGTGGTGATAGTCTGAATATCAATTTGATAGTTCAAGGGAGAAGCAAACCAAACAGCCTTGGTCCAAGGGCACAATAAGATAGAATGCTCCGCAGTTTCTGTAAATTCCAAGCATAACAGGCACAGCAGGGAAGCACAAGAACGCCTTTGGGAAAGGCCGGACATTGTAGGAAGATAGTTGTTAGCAATCTGCCACATAATTTTTTTTTAAAGAAAACTAATGAAAAATGTTTGAAAAACTTTGAGTTTTAACGATAAGGATAAAATAAAATGTAAAATGAATAGTATCAGGTTTGACTTTTTAGTGTAAAAATGTGATTTTTCGTTAAAATAAATAGTACTGCGGGTTTTTCGTTAAAATTTTTTTTTTTTTTATTTTTTTTATTTTTTTTATTTTTATCTTAGGCAAGGTGTGTAGACCCCAAATCAGCTTCCAAAAAGATGGATCAACATAATGAGACCGGTGGGCCATTTGACGGGAGATAGACCCAGCCTGATTCGGCAGACTTAGGAAAGCATAACCTGACTTAACCGAAAAATCCCCATTGAGAGTCCAAGGCCAAATAAGACGATCAGGTGAAGAAAGATCACCCAAAGGAAATCTTTCAATAACTGAACACTCTTCAGAGGAGATAAAGGAACGAACCAGGTTAAGATTCCACGAGCTATCAGTGCGGTTGATAATGTCCTTAGCTAAGGAAGGGGCAGAACTAGTAACGGGTACCATAGGGTGGATAATCCCAGCTTGGGTAGAGGAGATCCATTTATCTTGCCAAATATTAACCAGATTACCATTCCCGACTTGCCACCAGGCACCCTGAATGATAAGGTCTCTACCGCAAATGAAACTGTATGCAAATCCTGTCATCTAATGAGGTTCGAGCCGTTGAAGAGAGAAGGAAATATTTGGACCATTGGTTTGTACTGTTAGGTGAACCAATGAAACTGTCATCTAATGAGGGCTGCAAGATTTAAAATAAGTAGTCCAGACCTTCGGATTCATCTAAATTGGATATAGCCAATCAAGATGTTATGCAAATGGCTCTTCTTGTTTATTTAATTTTTCGGTGGAACATATGCATCATTTAATTAATTAAATTAAAGTGGTTTTGTGCATAAGAACTCACCAAATTAATTAATACATCGAATATCTAGCTTGGTACTGTATGCAAATCCTGGATTCTGGGAATTTTGAAATTAGCTAGCAAGAAACGACGATGGTTGATAGTGATCCGTATTCTCACAAAGGTGGAGCACCAATTCTTTCTGTAATTGTTAATTACGAATTATTGGTCATGCAGTATGACAAATAATGAAATTTATAATTATATAACGAAGGACTAATCAGCTTCTCCAGCAAGACATAAACTAATTATATTATTCAAGATTCAATTTTTATTTTATTTTTATCTCTTCTGTTATTCATATTAATGGCCATTGGTGCAAAGTGCAAGGTGCAAAGCTGAGGCCTTCTCAATTTGCATTTGTATTTTCCTTGCCTCTGTACGATTTGTATCTTTATATTTAACCAATTTTTCAAGAAAAGTTACAAATGTGCACTTTAATTTTTCCATCTTTGTGTTTAATTAATTTCTTAATTGAAAAGGTTTTGGAAGAATGGCTGAATGGGATCCACGATCCACCAATATACAAATTGCAAAGACATCAAATCAGAACGTGAATAATTGTAAAAGAAGTCTAAAAGGAGCTGGATGCAAATATTAATGGGATGAGAATATCCATCATTAAAGAATTATAAATTTTGTTGAGAACTAGAGTGTTGTTACACATGTATAAGGTTTAATAAAATTTTGTAAGAATTTATCCAAAGGTTTGCTTCTTTTTTTTTTTTTTTTTTTTTTTGATCTTACTATTGTTAGATGGTTCTACGTATGGTGAAATTTCAACTACCTTCGTGATATCAAAGAGTGTTTGCCCATGTGTTATAAGACATTTAAAAGTGGTATTTCCAAGACGACTTGTATTAGTATTTCTTATTGAATTTTAAGAAGCTTATGGTATGGCACAAGTTCCATGAAAATAAGCTTATGACGGTTTTTGTTGCATTTCACAAAGGATAATGATGATGTTAGGAAGATCATCTATTTAAATTATATTTTATAAAATATGATATGATTGTTGATTGGATTATCACTTAAGTATTTATTAGCGTGTTTATTTTTTATTGATGATACATTATATGATTTGTAAATTTGGTTTAAACAATTGATCTAATCTCTTTAAAAAATATATATATATGCTTTATTTAAATAAAACAATAATTGATATTTAATGAGGTTAATTAATTAGTTAGATCAACTTGAAGTTTATAGAAAATCACTGTGCCCTAGCGAGTTGTGGTGGGATTGTACTGCATCTGCTACATGCATCATTTTAGGAATGAAAATGATGGGAACATTTAGTCTTCAAAAGGGGTCCAATCTTCATTGGGAGTTCGAATTCCCCCCCCCCCCAACCGCCCACTTTTTTGTATCTTCTTGAAAAAAGATAAAAGGTAGTAAACGCGGTTGACAATGTTGAGAAAGTTAGACTAGAGTATAGTAGATGCAACACGGTTTCAGTGGGTGAGACGTGACATGACAAATCAATTAAAATGAACTTTTTGACATCTTTACGTGTTTTGTAAACTTATAAATGATGAAACTAAACTTTTGAATTGAACAGTCCGCTATATCATGACTTGAAAATTCCGTGTCTGGCGTTAGTGAAACTTTCAACGAAAATGAATGTCAACCACCATAGGGATTAGTCTCCATTCTAGTACTAGTCCTCTCTCTCTCTCACTAATCTTGTGATTCGTTATGAATTAACTTCTTCTTTTGGTATGTGTGGCCGGGTGAGATATATAGGTTCATGCTTTTTAAGTAGGAAACTGTAGTTTGTGAACTTAATTCAATAATTCTTGCTAATGAACAAAAAAAAATGAGGAAGAACTGATCAACTTGATTCCTAATGAGTCATGACCCAAAAGGCTTGGCCCAATCTCTTGAGCCTACAAGAACTCCAAGTCTCTATTAAACCCATTCATCTTAAGCTTAATTAAATATACTAAAATTAAAATACTGCAATATTAACATAGTACATGCAAGATATTCATGAATATAGCACACACCTGAAAGCACATTTCCAAAAAAGCTGGAAATTACAGACATTCACACATACATACATATACATACATACATATATGTATAATATAGGCATGGGGATGGGCGGGAGTTTCACCGAAACAGACTAAAACATAACAGTGAAACTCTGTGGCTTCATTTTCTTCTACTTACGAACCTATAATTTAGCTATATATAGTAGGGTTATTAAGGCCATAACAAATACTGGCCTCAATTTTCCTAATAATATTTCTTAAAAGCTTATGTACAAAATCTAGCTAATTAACTGATCTAGGTGAATTCCCAGGACCCCAAATTTGAGCAAGTGACCTGCTCGAAGAAGACGCTTTTCTCCACCTTGCAATCCGTAACAAGAAAGTTAACACCTCCGACGGATCCTGCAGGGAATAGCAAGCTTTGGTATCCTTTGGGGTTGAAGACACAATTATCGGAAACCCTAGTCCTCTACTTCGTATCACCTGCATGTATGTACAACAAGTAATTAGTATTAATCCACAAAATTAACTACAAGTATGAAAATTAATGAAACAGTTGGATCTGTTGTAGGCACCTTGAAAGCATCTTCATCAGTCCGATCATCCCCAATGTACAACGGGAGGACGTCACTGGAATTGCTGAATCCAAGAGTGTCAAGTAAATATTCTAGGGCATGACCTTTGTTCCATTCTATGGATGGCCGTACTTCCAAGACCTGAATAAATAAAGATGCACATGAAATCATGTTAACAATAAAACAATCTGTACACACGTTATAACTTATTACAAGGAAGAAATTAACTTAGAATGTTTTTTTATATATATGACCTACCTTTTTGCCGAAGGTGAGATGAAATTCAGGATAGTTTTCAAGTACAGACTTCACCTTTGCTTCTAATATGTCATAATCCTACGGACGCACGTATATATACATCACTTATCAAGTCAATGAAGATTAAATACAGGATTGAAATGATAGAAAAATTGGCTAAACTGAATGTTCTTAATTACCTCATCCTGGACCTTGCGGAAATGTACAGAGAGGCAGAATCTGTTGTCCTCTACCCTAGCACCTTCTATTTTCCTGGTTATCTCCTCTAACAGTGTTCGTATCTGCAGTTCCAATTAAAACGTAGATAAATTTCTTGTGTAAAAATTAAGGCACATCTGAACTCTGTATCTCCAATTAAATGACATTTTTATTTTCTTATAATTGATAAGTACATTGAAAAGCATAAATGATATACTGTTTGCTAACCTCTTGGATTGCAGGCAGAAATCTTTTAGCAGGTTGAAAGAGAACGTCACTCGCCTGCACCGTTAGTAGTACTACTGTGTTATTATTGACCAAGCCATAAACACACACACACACACACACATATATATATATATTAGGGGTATGCTGCACCAGTACAGAGAACTAGAAGAACACACACTGAGCAGTGATCACTGACATTTTTATCCATGGCTGTAGTGTGGTTCTTGCCATCGCAGGGCTTTAGTGGCCTTGGTGGGACCATTATATCCATCCCATGGCTTCCAGCATAATATACATTACTTAACTGTACAAATCCTTTTACCTGTAGAACCAAATTAAATGAGAAAATTCTTCTATCACAGTGTTTGTTGATGAACATTTCAAATTTTCTCGAGATTATATTGATGCTTAATCATTACCTTATCTCTACTCCTTCCACTAATTACTGCTGTTGGAAAATACTTGGCAACTTCCCGCACTGCAGCACGCATCTGCCGGCATATGGAACATAGTTAATATAATTAGGATGGATTGAGTCATATGTAAAAACGGGAACATTGTTATCAAGAAAATTAAAGACTACCTCATCAGACATGAAGGCACGGTCAGGATCATCAACAATTGGTGAAAGGGTCCCATCGTAGTCTAGGAAAACAACCATCCTCTTCCCTTTTGCTGCTTTCATCATCTGATCAAATGAGCCCAATGCAGAAGGGTGCTCAACCTAAACATATAACACCCAAAAAAGAATCATAATATAAAAACGAACAAGGATAATCAAAGCAGTGATATATGGTAAGAATTCTCATAAGATCACCAACTAAGCCCAAATGGCTAGAACGTACCACCCAGGAATTATAAGCTAAATCTGAGGAAATTGGTCTATTAGGGGTAGAGATGTCATGCAGGTTTGAGGTGATTGATGCTAAGGAAAGATTGACACTGTTCTCGTCATTCTTTACTGCTTTCGTGATGGGTTGCACCTTTTGCTTATTGGAAGTTGATGACCTATGGAGTCCCATTGCTCGGTTCAGCTTCGCCGAGTTTGTCATGATCACCTATTTTCGCACAAATTCCAAACGAAAATATGAAGAGGCTATATATATAAAAAGTGTCACACAAGTACATAAACCAAACTTTACCATTTTTAAAAAGTTTATGAGGTAGAGAAAATTAAACAATTTGAAATTACAAATAATATGAACTGAATTCCCTTGTATGGTCTGAAAAAGAGTTCTATAAGCTAAGGAAACTAAGATCCTCTTAGCTTTCCGGGGACCAGAACCTTTTAGCTTCTAACAAGACAAAATGTTTTCCTCCTTCTCTTTGCCACCGATTAGGTCAAAGTCACTCACGTTATCCTCTCCCTCTTTTTTATTGACATATATATAACAAGATTTGTCACAATCCACGACCACTCCTGATTTATCTAATGAGATTTTCTTTATGCACTTTATTATCGAATGAATTTGTATATGAGGTTAGTAAGATCTTAAGATCTAAAAAGGATTAAAAAGAGAGAAAATATAAGATTTCGCACTCACGTTTCCACCTTTCCAAACATTTAAAAAATTTATTTAGAGTGTCATCGTCATGCTTAACTAGTTCAAAACCAATAGTTCTCATTAGAATCACTAAACAGTAGGTATGGTCATATTTCCATACATAAAGCAAGCAACATGGATAATTAAATATGGTCAAGATTAAACATAAATCTGTGTGTATAATTTAAAAGGTTAAAGTCGGTATCGGATAAAACATCTTTTGCTTTTCAAAGGGAGAAAGATAATGTCGTTTTCAGAAGCTAACATCTTTTCGTAGGAAAAAAGAACAACAAAACAAGAACAAGAGGGCCAGTTTAGTGTGTGAATAATTAGATTTGGTGACTCGACATTACTTTTTAAACCTAAAGGGTCTGTCTCAGGGGGAGTCACCAAACATGATGATTCAGATGACAAGGACAACACATGCATATAAAACGATTTTTGTAAGATATATGTTTGTTTTCTTTTGGCCCTACCTTAACTACTACCTAACTGATAGGTATCTATCTAATCATAATATATATTGTTTAACTTGATCTCTTTCATAAAAATATAATAGGACACTAATTAATTAGTATGTTTTCAACCAAAACAAAAAAAAAATGGGAATACCCAGTGCAAATTAATACATGATCAAATATTTAAATTTTACGGAAAAATTGGAAGAGATTTGGCATAAAAAATTAACTTTGTTAGCCAACTGAAAATCGAATGACTAATCTTTGATTAAAGATCTAATAAAATCTAAGAACAAAACATCCCGTAGTATGCTAGAACTTTCGTGGGCGGCCTGAAAAGACAACCAAAGAGTTGAAGAATGTTTCTGAAAGCTTCATGGTTTGAAAGAGTAGGACACTTGTACGGTCGATCAGCCGATGTTTCTGAAGTACCCCACAATACACGTGAAACAACATGCATGCATGTAATAAAAATAACATTAGTGGCTAGCTAATTAAATTATTAGGAGGGTCCGGCATGATGTTTGTTTTCTTTCATCTACCTACTACTACAGCTACAACTGAATTGACTAATACAAGATCAATCAGGGAACATAATTTCTTCATTTTTTTTAATAAAGTTCTGCAGATGACTTAACCATAAAACTACTGGCTAGCTATGAAAACTGCTAACTCAAAATCCACTCTGATACAACTTTAAAGTGAATCGAAAGAACAAATCAAACACAGTTTTTAATTTGGAAAATAAAAAAGGTCTTTTTGAAACAATAACATAGGTTGTAACCTTGTAGGAGTGCTTCCCATCATATAAAACACTGATGAAACCATGACAGAAATCAAAGCAATGGGAAAATATTCTTAAACTTCTATGGAAACTACGTAAACAAGCCATGTTGTATACTAATTCACATATTATTATAAGGATCGCTTCGAGGACATGATTAATAAGATTACTACATAAAACAACAAATTCAAGTATTCTAAATCAAGTAAAATAGACTGAATAGTACCTCAAAGTGGTGGTGCTCTAAATATACAAAAATTTACTCTCAAATATGCCGTGCAACACGTGTATTAAAATAGCCATAATTAACGTCTGATAATTTTATCTCTTTGGGTCAATTGACCAGTCCTCAAGTTTAAAAAATTATCAAACAATTTTTTTCAGAAAAATAAACCTTTGAACCCTTGACTTTTCTGAACCTAAACTTCAAGTTTTGGAAATATGAGAAAAGCAATGGAGGCAAAAGAAATAAACAAATATATCTAATATATATAATAAGTAAATAGTTAAAAAAACCATAGAAAAAGTGCAAAAAAACAACTTTAACGTGTCGACTGGAGAAGTGGTGGATCGACAAGCTCTGTAAGTTTTGGCTGTGCAGAGAGGACACGTCTAAACACAGATTGGAGTAGAGAAAATGGCAGTATAAGAATTAAGAACCACACAGCCGAATACGACGAACTGTCCAAGTCAAAAAAGAAAGTACCACGAAGTGAAATGAAAAAAGTGTTATAAATAATAATATTATCATATGCTAATTAGACGACAAAACCTCTGTTGTTCTGGAATAATGTTACTGTAATCAGAACACATACTAAAGTGAAAAGCTGGTCTGTTCGTAGGACTTTGTGTGTGCTTTTCGTGAAGGTCATATGATTTACGTTTCTTTGTTTTGTATTCAGGAAAAGATAGCCAATAATGGAACTTGATTATATTATAAAATTAATTAACAATAAAATTAATAGTTTCAAGAAATTAAAAATGCAAAATATTAATTTCCCGACCTCAGTCTCTAATAATTAACAGATTAAGGACCGACCGAACATAACTTTATTGTGAAATGCGTATATCAGACCTTTCAAAGTATGTTTGAAAGAGAAAGGGAGGACTTCAAAAAAACAAAGAAAAAAAGCAAGCACTTAAGACCCCACTGAAACAAATCTTGACAAAGTTAAAAAACTAAGCATATCTTTATTTATGGTCATCGAATTGCATATATCAGACAAAACCAACGATCAATTAGGAAAAAACAAGTCTTTAAAAAGCCAAAGGAGATTTGTAAAAAATATAAATATAGTCACTTCAGTCTCCATTAACAGTGCTCAAGCACTCTTGCACATCCCGAATACTCTTGAGACCTCCTCAAATGAACAAGGTTCTAAAACTCTATAAAAAAAACTGGGCTAAAACTCTATCTTTTCCAGAATAATTTCCCCAAAAATCTTCCAAGATAACTTCCTCTATGATGTAATAAACAGAAAATAGAAAACCATGAAACAAATTATGATTGCTCTAAATTTCCAAATGTTCTCGGATAATAGCAAATCGAATAAGCTAGCTAACAAAATCAAGATACAATAATACATGCAAGCATTTGTTTATGTAAATAATCTACCAATATATATACATATATAACACAAAATAAAATGCGCATATTATACCATATTAAAACTTAAAACAAAAGGAAAATATCATAAAGTAGTTGTGGCCATATTGCAATCAAATCTTTAGTTTTGCTTCCTAAAAACTTTTATCTAAAGACCAATTTTTCTCAACCAACACCCTAAAAAAATACCACTCTAACTCTCTAACCAAACTAAACAAAAATAAAAATTATGAACAATTTAATAATTACACGAAACATGAATTTTGTTGTTTTTACGGCATCCTCACACCCACATAAACATAACATGTCTTATTTAAAAATTAAATAAAAAATTTATTTATTCTAACATCTTTCAAGCACGCCAGTATGGGGTACATATAGTTTGCTAGCTAGTATAAATTTAAAAAAAAATACGTGATTTATTTTCTAAATTATATCTTTTTAGCTTGAGGACCAATCTTGGAGCACCGAAAAAATTGCTCATTTATGACCGAACGTCATAAAATTCAAGCTGTGAAAATAACTTATTTGCAAAAAGTGAGGATAAAATTACTTACGATAAGTGTTTCCTCGATCTTATTTGCTAGAGGTCAACCTTTTTATATATGTTCTTTAGCTTCTCGTACATTTTTCAGCCATTAAATTGTGTAAATCAAACAAAACCCCTACAGTGAAAACCCTAGCCCTTTTTAAAAAAAAAACAAAACCTTTTTTTAATCGGTGGACCAAAGACACCAACATGGACTTAACTGTTTTTCAGGTACGAGTCATGTCATTGGTAAAGGGCAAAAGCACTCCCAAAGGGACCCACAGTAGCAGAACAAACCAGTCGGTGGTCTTTATAATCCGGACCGTACACGTGGCACCACGACCGACGACGTACTCGTGTCGATACAGCGGGTCTCCCATGCAAACGGTGACCAGTTCCATACGTCAAGTGGGCCATTTGGCCCAGTCAACATGCGGGCCACATTTGAACACGTGTGCGCTGGATTAAGAAAAAGTAAAAAGAGTTCCTAGCCGCAGAGAACGAAGACGAAGAAGAGTGGCGCGTGAGCATCACGTTCATCACCTACGGCGCCCACGTGAGTTCAAGACGGCGACGGAAACTCACCTGCTTGTGGGTCGCGTTTGAAAACAGCGAATTGATTAGGAGGTCAAACGAAACAACCACCACCAACCGCTTTCTCGTTTCGGCCGCTGAGTTTTCCACTAATAAAAACCGTAAAACCGAATACTACGGTTGTAAACAAATAACTAAGAAAAAAAATATTTAAAAAAATCAATCTTCTACACACAAAACATGTATAATAAAATCAACAAGTAAATTGTTCGAACAGATTCAAATTACAACATCTTACATCCTACGAAAACCAGAAGCATACACGAAACAGTATAAGTGACGGATCTGATATCAAAGTCTCCTAAGTCCCTACTCAGTTGATTAAAAGTACTTATCACGAGTTCTTAAGTTCAATTTTATCTCTTAATAAAATGGCAGGAACATAATAATGAATAATGAAATTAAATTAAGCAAATAGGGACGCACCTAATGAAATCTTGGTTGCCAATAGCTTGTGGTTTCCTAGCCTAGACAGTAAGGAGCTCCGATGGAGGTGAGAGAGAGGGGGAGGAGAGAGAGGTTGAGAGAGGTTTAATGTGAGAGAGAGGGAGGAGGGGGAGAGGATGAAGGGGAGGAGGGGGCTTTATTTATAGAGGAGAGGAGGAGGAGGGAGAGGAGGAGGAGGAGCGAGGGTTTTAATTAATTGTAGGGACCAAAGGAGACGTGGATGTTTGCCACATGTGACATGCCCTACGTGGGTTAAGTCTCCCATTGCCCTGCAACTTCCTCCAACAACAAGATTTACCCCTTAACCCCACTTTTTAACTCGAGGGAGTCTTCTAATTTGTTGGACTTAATTAACTGGATGCACCAAAATAGGCCCAAGTTGTTTCTTATATTTCCCAAGTTTTTTACTTTAATTAAATTACAGAAATCGAGACTTGAATTACAATGCAAATCACACCGACTTCTTAATATCATAACACGATCAATAGTATACTACGTGGTTATTTGACTGTGGTTATTGGTGGGCTAGAAACAATATGTGGTTATTGTTCTTGAAACCGGTAAAAAAAATTTAGAGCTATTAACCTAGACGCATATACAACTATCTACATATACAAAGAAGGTATAATAACCGTAATCTTCTTTTTTGTTATGTAATTAAATCGTAATCTTCTCTTATATGTGAGTATTAATTGTATTGAATAAAATACCATTTGATAGTAAAGTCTCATTACTCATCATGATTTCCCATATCGATCATTTTAAAGCCGTTTTGACTAAAAAAAAAAAGAAAAAAAGAAGAAGATAATTTTAAAGCCGTGATTGCCTAGAGTGATTGGTGCTATTAATTCCACCACCATGATTCCAAGAATTCACTTTTTTTTACTTTTACTTATTTTATACAAGGAGTATCTTCATTTACTAATTTAATTCTGGTAAGCAAGGGCAAGGGTACAGCCAATCCATCTGCATCTGCCCCCCCTCTCTCTTCCTCGTTGATCAAACTGCCGAACCACCTCTGAGGATCTTCCACTTGTCATCAAAGAAGTACTGTAATGAGTCACTTTTAATAAACGTTGAGCTTCCTTCTCTTAGTGCTATGTTATGGATACAAACCAAAAGTTGAGTTACAAGAGTATTTAACGTTAATTGTTTGAGCTACAAACTTCTTATTTCGTAATTCCTATTTTGTCTGTGAATCCAACTAAGTTGTTTAGAATCAAAATATGTCCGACCACGTGACAAGGGAGAAAGAGATTGATCAAACTACCGAACCACCTTTGAGGATCTTCCACTTGTCATCAAAGAAGTGTTGTTATGAGTCACTTGTAATAAACATTGAGCTTCATTCTCTTAGTGCTATGTCATGGATACAAACCAAAAGTTGAGTTACAAGAGTACTTAACGTTAATTGTTTGAGTTACAAACTTGTTATTTCGTAATTCCTATTTCATCCGTGAATCCAACTAAGTTGTTTAGAATTAAAATATGTCCGACCACATGACAAGGGAGAAAGAGATGGCAATGAAAGAAATATGCATCCACAAGGATTATTTAATGTATATTTCCATGGTTTATGAAATATACAGGATTAATTTTGGCATTCACCGTGGGGGATTACTGTATGTCGACAGAAAAAGTTAAACAAAAAATAACAATAAAATTAGAAGTATCCAATCCAATATACATGATAAAATTACACAAACAGCCCTATATATTGCCCATGAGGTACTAGACCTAGCGTATGTCTCCTAGAATGACCTAATATATTGACGGGGAAAGAATCAATTGATATCAAATTCATAATTTACAATAGAATAAATTGTAGCAATTATCTCTTAATTTTAACTCAACTGAAGCAATGGTCCATCAACTAAAAACTCATTACCATTGGTCATTCAATTTAAATTCAACTGGAGAAATGGTTCCTCAACCTTAACCCAATTAGAGCAATGATCCCTCAAACTCTAACCCAATTTTAGCAATGGTCATTCCAACATAACTCATTTTGACAAAATTCTAACAACGTTGACGAAAATGACCATATATACACATTTTGATGAGTTAAGAGTTCCCGATTGTAGCAATGATCATTCCAACATAACTTATTTTGATAAAATCCTAACAAAGTTGACGAAAATGACCATAGCTACACATTTTGATGAGTTGAGGGACCAATGGTAATGACTTTTTAATGAGGGATCATTGCTCCAATTTGATTAAAGTTGATGAACCATTGCTACAATTTACTCTTTACGATATTCTAATTTAAAACCTATAAGTGAATAAGAATATTATTAAACCATATTACAAATTGTCATATTGATGTATAATATGATTTTTGTTTTTGACAAAAGATAGAATTTTATACTAAGCTACAAGTAATTTGTTTTTTTATTTTTTGAAACAAACTAGACTCACAAAGGCATTTAAGTCTCTTTCTGGTTATCATCGTGTGATTCATCAACACCAGAAATTAAACTCAGAACGTACCATGTAAAATAGAGTCTGAAATTCATCTCCAACTACTCTGTCACCCCATGGTGGTTCCTTGAATATGTAAGTAATTTGTTGAACGCCTCTAGTTTTTATTTGTTCAATTGTTTCTAGATGAGAATAAGCAAAGTAGGAAGTTCCATGAATGTGAACCAAATAAATTATAATTGTATAAGATTCCGGTTCGACATGCTTGGTGGAATTTTCTTATGAACCTTCCTTAGACTTTTATAGTTTTCTCGAGCTGCGAGCATTTACATAGTCTTTGCCATAGTCTTTGCCCACATGATGTGACAAAGAAAACCGACACAGATGTTCATAAATTATTCATATTGGTCGTCTTCCTCCTCATGAAGTAGGATTCTCTTTCTTATTTTTTTCTCCTCTCATTATCTTTCTTTCTATTTGAACGGTTACGGTTAAGCCACATCAACATCTTATATTAATTTTATATAAAAAGAGAGATAAAATAAAGAATGTGAGAAGATAGAAAGGAAAGAGAATGAAAAAAGGAGGAGCAAGAATCCTAGTCCCCTCCTCATACACACACAGATATATATATTTATATATTGTTATAAGATTCTCCGTCTCATGCATTGCATTGTTGCATGAATGACTGTATCCACTGTAACTCTTCCGCGAAGACACGCAGTTTAGAGTCAAAGTCTTGTTCTTGAATCCTTACACAGAAAGACAAAATCCCTAATAAACTTTTTCTAAACCTGATAACTGACTTCTAATTTAGTTGTATTTGTCTCCTTTTAGTTGAAGGAAATCTTGGATTCGATTGACATGAAGGAGGAGAACGATACATATACAGATGAGTGCGGTAAAGTAAATAATTGTGGCTGTTCACGCCGTACGCCTTACGGGATATAAGCTACAACTTTGTTGTGACAGTAAAAATACATTGTGAAATCTTTAAGCTCCTTTAGAAGTGCTTTTAAAATTGATACAAACACTTTTAGTGAAAATGTTTTTGGAATCAATCATTAGTAAATATGGAAGTAAATCTTGAAAAAAACACTTGAAATACTTTATGCAAGAAGCAATAGTTATGCGCTTCTTGCAGAAAACACTTCAAGTGCTTTTAGAATCCAAGTATTTTCTCTAAAGCATTTTCAGTTATATTAAAATCACTTTCAAACGAGCCATTTACAAACATGTAATCTTCTATAAAAATATTGATACTTCAGATGAATCCAACAATATCATAGATCGTGCGTGTAAACACATAGTCATGCACACGGCACACCAATTACCTCAAATCTCTAAAGCACTTTCAATCATATTAAAATCATTTTCAAACGAGTCATTTACAAACATGTAATCGTCTATAAAAATATTGACATTTCCGATGAATCCAATAATATCATAGATCGTGTGTGTGGACACGCGTCGACACACGGTCACGCACCCGGCACACCAATTACACGCATTTGATGGCAGATGCAAGTGTCTACGTTTAGTCAAAATGTAGATGGTGTCAATTATATGGGATGGAATATTTTTTTTGGCCCTTTCGTTTTCTTTGACAAGTAGATCATTAAACTTATATTATTGTACGTATCCCTTGCTGCTTGGCAGTTTACTTGGTCTCCTGATACCAAAACAAATACATCTCACTTTGTCACGATGAAAATGATTTCCGCGATCTCTTTTTTGCTTCTACAAACTTCTGTCTTTTGTCTATTGATTTTCTTTTAATTAAGGGAACTTTAACGACAAAATTCTGGTACTGTTCACTTTAACGAAAAATCATATTTTTACACTAAAAAATCAATCTTGATACTATTCATTTTACCTTTTATTTTGTCCTTACCAAAACTCAAAATTTTCAAGCTCTTTTTATTAATTTTTCTTTTAATCAATCCATTGTTAACGGAATCTGCTAACTCACAACACATAAGTAAGGGACTGGCACACTTCGAGGAACAAACCGTGTGAGAGGAACCGGTCACCGAACCAACTAAACCGGCCGAGGCAACCGGAAATCCAGGTCGGTTCGGCCGGTTTCTCGGTTTTTTGGTAAGAATGCCCTAAGCTACAGAGAAGATGTATCTGTGAGCCAAATCATAGTTCACAGATGGAAAAGTAAATATTACTGCAGTAACTTGTACACTGAAGGATGTAAGTAAAAGTTAAAACCCATGATGCCAAAGAACCTTATCTTTCAGAGAGATCAGGCATGAGAGTATACAAAAGTTTCCAACTTTACTAAAACCTAATCACCATCTGACCTTTCATGTTCCACAAAATGCAAAAAGAAAGATGGTACCACCACCACCACCACCACCACCTGCTAACCAATTGCTGCAAATAATGCAGTAACATGTACACTTGCAACAGGCCTTACCAAAAACAAAAAGGGTTAGCAAAAACAAAAGGGGCAAACCTATCTAGACCGGTATTATCTTTAGCAATGTCCAGAATCTGCGGGTGGGGCGCGCTTATAGCTTCAGTTTCCTTGGCCGACTTGGCATGTACCATTGTCGTCGGTCATCATTGGTAGAGGTTTCGGAATCTCTTCATTTGTTTTACCATCGTTCTGTTTCACTGGTGCATCACGAGCTTCTGTCATAACTTGATAAAGCTCCGAAGGGAGAGCTGCTGGATCCAATTCCCAACAACCCTTTGGAGCATTATGAGCTTCTTCACCTGTAAGTAAGTGACTAGGGACCCGATGCGAGAAACGGAACATCTCCTCTTTAGGAATCCGTTGCACTTCCTTGGGGTCTGTGTGCTTACGAAACACTGTTTTAAAACCAGCGACCTTAGATAGAGGAGCGACAGACACACCATGTTCCTCAGTAAACTCGTCAAGCAGTTCCACCATGTCATATTTGTTGATTACTGCATCTGGGGTATGCTGATTCCATTCAGGGGACCAGTTCCTATATAGAGCCCAGATTTCACCCCTTGTAGGAAATATGCGAATCATCCCTCGTGTGCCTTTTGTCCAATTAACCTTGCTTGAGAAAGAATTTAAAGTATCAGATATTGCATATTTGCCAGGCCTGAAATCACCACAAGTTTTAGCAAAACCAGAACCTACCCAGTTCAGCGTACCCAATTCATTGTTGCTTCTCGAGTTAAGCCAACTGACCCGCATCTTAAACGGCTTCAAGGAGATCACCTTTTGAATTCGACCATAATAACGAGGCATACCATCATTATCATATGCAGCCCAAACTTGGTCCTCTCCAAAGGATCTTTCAGTTCGATCCAAGTCAAAATTATGAAAATCGGGGTCTGGAACGTTGATCGGCATTGGTGACTTATCCTCTACATCTGGAGCACTGTTTGTGCTTGTGTCAACATTTACCACACTCTTCTGTTTCTTTTTTACTTTCACAGTTTCTTGCTCTTTCTTTGCCTGCTTTGCTTCAGTTGCTGAGCTCCGCGCAAGAAAATTGCGAATTGAAGTTAGTGCCGTCTCAATTAGAACTTTTCTTATTACCGGATACGGAACCTCTCTGAGGACCTTAGGTTTGTCCTGTGCACTAGAGAAATCATAAATTCTTTTCGTTCCAGAATTACCTTTACTCAACTCAGATATACCTCCCAAGTCGGCTCCACCACTTCCCATGGCCATTTGATTAGGCCTTTTTTTATCATAACCGTTCAAATGAGGATCATCCGTTCTTCTCTTTTTCAATGTAGGATTTCCCTTCAAATTTTGACTCCTTTCCCATTCAGCAATTGACTGTCTCCGCTCTGAATTTCTATTCATATTCTCACTTGCCTGCTGAACCGCATCCACAGCAGCGTGACCCGATGCAACTGTGCTACCGATACTTGTCACTTTGGTGGCAGAGCCCTGCTTCAAGTTTGTGTTGTTGTTTGAATTAGAACCTGAAGACCCCCCAGCTCCTACATTTTGAGCTGCAGCACAGTTTCTTCCAGAACTATTTGAGTTACCACCAGCAGCATAGTGTCTTGAATTCTGATGCTGCTGGGAAGAAGAGCTCTTGGACGACTTGAAAATCTCTGCAGGTGGAGCCTGTTCTACAGCCAAGAAAGTCTTCTTACAATTAGGACAGACAAGAAGATGATGTAGATACATTCTGACATACTGATAATGAGTTTTGCAATGGTTGCAAATGGTCCAAAATGTAGCAGCTTTTGCATATGAAGGTATATGGGTGGAACCGCGCTGGGTCCTCGCATTCATAACATTCTGAAAGGTACTTGCACTAGGTTGCGTTGACGGACCTCCACTACGGTGTGCAGCTTCCTGTTGAGACGCTTTTACAGTCTTCCTGACACTATTCATACAATTTTGAAAGGTGCTTGCACTAGGTTGCACTGACGGACCCCCAGTACGGGACACTGCTTCCCGTTGAAACCCTTGTACATTCCTCATGTGGTTATATGCTACCCTCTTGGCCTTGTCTGATAACAAAGTCCAGGCCTCTGAAACCAACTTAAATGCGCCTTCTGCACCAAAACACTTGTTTTTATCAGGATGAAGCATGAAAGCCAACTTTCTATACTCTTTCTTAATTGTCTCATCATCAGCATACGGAGTAACACTAAGTACTCCATACCAATCTGCTTCCCCATTAATTTTATTCTCCGAAGAGATGTAAACATCAAGTATAGTCAACATTTGGGAGAGACCCTCAAGCTCGGGACACAAATTTAGAGCTTTCAAAACAAACTTCTTAGCACTAGCATAATTTCTTTCTGCAAACTTCCTCTCAGCAAGTTCCTTAGCCTTGACCGCATCATCTTTATTGCACTCCATAGTTTCCCTAACAGTCTCAATACACTTCCTCTGAGTCTTTACTTAACTGGAGCAGTAAGCATAATACGAGAAAAAGTATTACATTCGACAACCCCTAGCCATTTTTCCTTCCCAGAAAGCGGTCATGACTACGGATGTTAAATACCTGATCCAAAGAGAAAGCAAACAAACAGCATCAGATTATTTTACTTGTTATTCAATTATGCTAACAACTTAAAGTCCGACCCGATGCAGAAACAAAAAAACTCATTTCAAAACAAACATTGTTTAAATACAGAGTTTAAAACCCTCCCTCACCAACACCAAACAAAAAAAGCCGTTGCTATAAATCTATAAACAATAAATTCCATCACATTGAATAGAAACAAGTATCACTTTTATAGATAGAAACAGATAATGTACTAAGTTAACTACAAATCTACTAGATGCAGTGTAGCAATGACTTCTTAAGTTAAGACAGACCTCAATCATCTCTCCTTTTCGACTTAAACCACAGACTTCCCCGTCAAAGGACGAAAGGGCTTTGCTTCATAAAAAAGGGCTAGGCATGCGTTTTCATCAAACACTTGGAACTACACCAAGAGAACTCCTTAACACAACATTTCCCCAACAATTTCCAACAGATCTAAGCAACTACGAAAGCCAGATATGGCATGCCATTGCACACTCTTACAGGAAATTTAACAAAACTTTACCTTAATCAAGCTTCCCTAATGCATACAATATGTCAAATCATAAACAAAATGCAACAAACAAAAGCCATCTTTTCAAAAAAAATACCCTTCAAAAAAATTCCCAAAACCCACTTGGAGGAAATAGTCCCCAAGAAAATAATGATCAGAATTTACCAACTCAGAAAGCTCAAAGCTTTACTGAAAAACTACAAGATTTCTGTGTGAGTTCACAGAAACAGAGCTTTTAGGGTTTCAGTAACATCGTCTGGGTGGGAAAGTTCTGAAATTTAGCACTTTCAAAATTTCAGAAAATTTCACAAACCCTAGCTCTGTGCCATTTCCCAAAATTGAACAAAACCAGAAAAGCACTTGAGCAAAAGCGGAAATTGCAGAGAAAAAGTGCTTACCCACAAAGAAGGAAGAGGAGTCTGACCGACTTGAAGGAGTTTGAATCTTAGACGACCATCACCACCAGGTACACTGACCCATTAGCCCCTAGGGAAAATTCTTAATTGCAGACTTAAAAATTGAAATTTTTTAGGGAAAAAGTAGGAATGGGTTTTGGTGCCTCTAGGCTCTAGTATTGTATAGATTTATATATTGGTTGGTTTAATCTAACTCAAGAAGACTAACTAGGGTTAAATTTTAACCTCGGCGTAGGATTTACGCTAGATGGACACCGAACATTCTAGATGGAAGAGTAACGTTACGCCAGATGTAAGAGAACCGTTACGCCAGTTGGACAACGCACGTTGTAGCAGTGAAAAAATTAAAAATATAATGGAAACAGGTCCTGAGTTCAATTCACAATGTGCACATTAACTTTAAAGAAACATATTGTCACTGACTAACTAGGCTCAAGTTTTAACCTTGGCCTAGAGTTTATGCTAGATGGACACCGCATATTCCAGATGTAAAATAACCATTACGCCAAATGTACATCGCATATTTTATATGTGAGAAACTAAAAGTATGGTGGGAACATATCATGAGTTCCATCCTCAACACATACATTAACTTTAAAGAAACGTATTGTGATTTATTTAGTTTATTGGATGTAAGTTTAGTTTAATTTGTTGTCACATTTTTTTTAACAAAATGTTACATTTAAATTTCTTATGTATCCTAGTAAGGCTCATGAAGAATTTAGGGACAATGTGGCATGTTGGAGAGCCTTAGCCCTTATCTATGTCCTACATTCCAAACATTTTCATATTTAAATAATTAAATTCTCTTTTTTCAATCGAAAAGTAAATTACATTTTTATAAGATATCGGTAAAACATTGATATTGATACATAATATAATTTTTAAGTATATGATAAAAGGTTTAAATCTTAACCAAAATTAGACGCCCTCTTTCACTTGTATATCAAATTTCGTTTGCAAAGTGATTTGTAGATTAATTGATAAATTGTAACCAATAAGAGCACTTCCACCGTGTGCTCCAGCCCGAGGGACAGGCGCATGAATAGGGCCAAAGAGCTCGAGTGATGAAGCCCAGCGTGTGCTGGCAAGCGAGCCCGAGCAGGCTGGAGGGAGAGGCCTGGCATGAGTTGCTGGCCAGAGCGCCCGAAAGGAATGTGACGTGGGCTGACGTCAGCCACATTTTTTTTATTTCAAAGAACCCATATCCTAAAATTAATCAACATTTCATACACCCAAAAATTAAACTTGTTGCTTGCATCCATGAAATGGGGGAACAAGATGAATCAGGAAGATAACTACGTTTAAATACCATCTCCATCATTTTCTAAATTCAATGAATTAAAAAAAAAAAAATTTGCTCTTTCTGTTTTTTTCTCTTAACTTGTTGCTTGTAGATCCATGAAATGGTAGAAGGATGAATCAGGAAGAATGCCCAATTTGCACGATGAATCTCCCATTTTTCGTTGTAAAACGAATCCCCAATTTGCAAGATGAACCATTCTCTCGGCTGCAAGACGAATCCCTAATTTCTCTAATATTGTTTGTACCATATTTAGGGCCTCTGTATTTAGAACTCATATAAATACTCGGGGGACTCAAATGTAATTATGTAATAAATGAAGGAGCAAATATGTAATAAGTGAGGAGCCTTTATTCTATAAAAGGAATCCTCACTATCCTCATTAAGGAAGGTCAAGATTCGGGCCAAGATGGAAGCCAAGTTTGAGGCCATGGAAAGAGAGCACACAGAAAATAGGCTAGATAGCACACTGCCTCTAGCATTCTTGTATATTTACCATTCAGAGTGAAACAATATAAACATCAGTGTGGACGTAGCCCAAACATTGGGGTGAACCACGATACATCTTGTATTCTTTACTTTTTTGCAAATTTACGGTCGGATTTACGTTGTTCCAAGACCTCTGGTTTTGTGCATCAACATTTGGCGCCATCTGTGGGAAACGACACGAAAAGCTATGTCGGTTCTCTTTCGTTTTTTCACCTCCGCTGTGAATCTGCAAAAACCCAAGAACCCAAAGTTTTCCCAGAAAACCCACGAAGCCACCTCCTCTCTCACTTAGTCTCTCCCTGTAACTGCAAGACAAATTCCCGCACCAATTCCTCACTCGCTCTCTAAAAAACCAGAACACAAACATTTCATCTGCAACAAAGGCGACAAAAAAGGCGATGGAAGTTGTGAAGGGCCTGGATTTACAGCGCTACATGGCGCGGTGGTACGAGATTGCCTCTGTTCCGTCGCAGTTTCAACCCAAGAATGATGAGAACACGCGTGCCACCTACACTCTGAAAGACGACGGCACCGTGAATGTGCTAAACAAGACTTGGATCGACGGGAATAGGGGGTTCATCCAGGACATCGCCTAAAAGGTAGACCCGAATAGCGACGAGGCGAAACTGAAGGTAAGGTTTTATGTTCCGCCATTTCTGCTTATCATTCCTGTCACGGGGGATTGCTGGGTTTTGTTCATTGACGAGGATTATCAGTATGCTTTGATTGGCCAGCCTAGTAGGAGTTCCCTTTGGTGAGAATTAGTATTGTCGGTTGAAAAAATATATAGAGCTCCAGCTCGAGTCCCAAAGCCCGAGTCCCGAACCCTACCGCTGCAAGTACTGGTGCCCAGTTGCGGTACTTCCCACCTATCTGAACACCTCTATAATGCCGGATTTAAGGCCATCACCAACATTGACTTATCTAAGGTCGCCATTTCCGACATGTTGTGCCGCAATGCACGTATACGCCCTGGTATGAAGTGGCAAGTCATGGACGTCACTGACATGCAATTCGAGGATGAGAGCTTTGACGTTGTTGTTGATAAAGGCGGCTTTGATGCTTTTATGGACCCAGAGTTTGGCGTGCAGATGCAGAAAAACAGAAAAATCCGTTCAAGAAGACCAGACCGACAGCAGATAAGAATAAGATAAGCTTTCTCAATAATCAGTCTATTATTATTCCTTTTGTCTGCCATCTGCCAAAAGAAAGAAAAACAGAGAGAAAGCAAAAGCAAAAAGAGAAAAAAAGATGCAGTGAACAGAGAGAAAGAAAAGAAAATAGAAAAAAAGAAACATAAACAAAAGCAAAAGCAAAGCAGAAAATAAAAGAGAAAAGAAGAAACAAAAACAAAAGCAAAAGCAAAGCATAAAGCAAAAGAAGATAAAAAGAAGCAAACATAATTGCGGTGGTGATGACATGTATAAAAGGAAATTATAGGCGTGACCCATTGAGCAGAGGGGCGGATTTATTTTTGAATGATGTAATTTATTTTTCTTATCTTTCGGAGATATCTGTATAACCCAATCAGAGGGTAATCATATAAAAAAAAAGGGCAAGCCCAAAATAATGGGCTGGAATGTTATGTGGAGGGCGAAGGTCCATATGCCCAAAAGAGTCAGGCCCTTTATTATCACAAACCAGGTGATCAAAAGTACATCTAGTACTCCAAAATTATTCGGCAACCTGCTGCTATTATCACCAATCAGGTGATTAAAAGTACGTCAAGTACTATAAAAAATTATTCGGCAGCCTGCCGCTATTATCACCAACCAGGCGATCAAAAGTACGTCCAATACTCCAAAATTATTCGGCAGCTTGTCGATATTATCACCAACTAGGTGATCAAAAGTACATTCAGTACTCCAAAATTATACATGAGCATCACTCATATCAAACATACATAAACATTCATGAGCATCACTCATGTCAATCATACATAAACATTCATGAGCATCATTCATGTCAACATTCATGAGCATCATTCATCTCAACATCCATGAGTATCACTCATGTCAATCAACATAAACATTCATGAGCATCACTCATGTCAATCAGCTTCGAAAGCTTCACTTACAGAGCTCCACCTTCAAAAGCTCCAGCTTCAAGAGCTTCATTTACAAAAGCTCAAACTTCAAAGCTTCACTTTCAAAGTTTCACCTACAAAGCTTCAGTGCATGGTATATAAAGACCGTCTCCAAACCAAGGTATAAAATATCGAAGATATCGAAAATATCGGTAGTTCAAAAATACAGAAATATCGATGGAAATATCGGGATATTATTGATATCGATAAAATAATATGGAAACCACGGAAATTGTAAGAAAAACTTTGAAATTTTTATTGAAACTTTGCAGGATGTTTATTTAGTCAATTATCTATTAGTTTATCACAAAACATTGGAAGGAAATGCATTGCATGATGGATTTAACTGATTTAAGTTGATTATATAGCGAGCTGGCAAACATTGTGAGTGTAGAAAATATGTAGTAATTAATGAAAGAAGTTTAAACACACCATAATCATTTATATATAATGACTTAGTGCAATATTTTACACTTTATACATTGTATGGTAAGATACATAAGTTACACAAACAACGGGAAATTAATGAGAAAGCCCTTCCCAAAACGTCAGCACCCACTATTTTGATCACACTAATCCAACGACTCAATACCATTGATAGCCTTAAAAAGAAAAAGAATTGTTTGGTCTTAAAAAGAAAACGAAAAGAAAATATTATATTATAAGAATATAATATAGTATTGTTTTAAAAGATAGATAGTTTAAGGGGTAAAAATAGAAGGACAGTTTAATCTTTTGCTGGAAAAGACGTCGTGATCTAGTTGAGTAATCCAAATTGGAAGAGGATACAAGCCAGATCTAGCAATGTCAGTCACAATTACTTCATTTATTTACCAAAAAACCAAAAAAAAAATTGTTTTAAAACATAACAAATAATATAATGTTATCTTAATCATTTATATAATATATTTATTGGACCAAAGCAATAACAATAGGAAGAAGGATTCACAAGATCTTGTTCCTGCATCTCTTTGTCCAACTTTGATAGTGGGTAATTATTTTTTATTTTTTTTAACTATGTGGGTGGTAGACTTTCACACAAAACTAGGCATTTTTTTCCACTTTCCCGATTTCCCTGCTGCCTAATTTCTATCAATCATCTCAACTTCTCTGTTTAACCCTCTATCTTCTTCTCTTCTGATCCCTCGTTCTAACCCTCCATGTCTACTCCGCACATCTTCCTCTATCACTCCCTCTAAGCCACCATGGTAATTCTCCATTTTCAAGCACAACACATCTCACGAACACACACACACTTACCCGCTGTTCGTCTCTTCCCAGCTCCGCCGCACAATTCCACCACCACCATGGGTCGCGTCCGCACAAAGACAGTGAAGAAATCCTCCCTCCAGGTGATTGAGCGCTACTACTCGCGTATGACCCTGGACTTCCACACCAACAAGAAGATCCTCGAGGAAGTCGCCATCATCCCTTCCAAGTGTCTCTGCAACAAGATTGCCGGATTCTCCACCCACCTCATGAAGCAGATCCAGAAGGGCCCGGTTCGTGGCATTTCCCTGAAGTTGCAAGAGGAGGACCGCGAGCGCCGCATGGACTTTGTCCCCAAGGAGTTCGCCATCAAGATCGACGAGATCTCCGTCGACAAGGAAACCCTCGACATGCTATCCGTTCTCGGTATGGCTGACATGCCTGGTTCAAGCGGGTCGACCCGGAAGCTCAGACTCAAATTTGCATAATATCACGATATTAACGATATTATGACGATAATTAAGAGGATAAGTATAAAAATATCGTCATCTCAAAAAAACGATATTATCGACGAAATATCGCCGATAATATCGATATTTTGTTCCTTGCTCCAAACAACCGCCATACATGGATTAAATTTGAAGTCTCCAGCCAACATACCCTATTGACTAAAGACTTGAAGGACTACACTATGTACCATATATTGAGCTTCCGCAACTGGGCCTCATGAAAAATACTTGGGGAACTTAGCCCATTATTTACGTATTGAGGAGCGAACCCTTATTCTATAAAAGGGACTCCCTCACCTCCATTAGAGAGAGACTCTTAGCCCATCACTTATGTATTGAGGAGCGAGCTCTTATTATATAAAAAGGACTCCCTCACCTCTATTAGAGAGCATCGCTGCCAGCTGAACAACCGCATCGCTGCAAGCATCACTCTTAACCCATCACTTATGTATTGAGGAGCGAGCCCTTATTATATTAAATGGACTTCCTCACCTCCATTAGAGAGCATTGCCGCCAGCTGAGCAACCGTCTCGCCACAAGCATCACTCTTAACCCATCATGTATGTATTGAGGAACGAGACCTTATTCTATAAAAGAGACTTCCTTACCTCCATTAGAAAGTATCGCCGCCAGCTGAGCAACCGCCTAGCTGCAAGCATCACTCTTAACCTATCACGTATGTATTGAGGAGCAATCCCTTATTCTATAAAAGGGACTCCCTCACCATCATTAGAGAGCATCGCCGCCTGCTGAGCAACCGCCTCGCTGCGAGCATCAACTCTAGCCCATCATTTATGTATTGAGGAACGAGCCATTATTCTATAAAAAGGACTCTCTCATCTTCAACACCACAAGCCGAGCCAACCAAGGCAACATAAGCCACAAGCCGAGCAGCCTCGCAACATGTGCTACTTCTAGTTGAGCATCATTTCACATTGAGCACCGCCTCATATCGAGTATTCAGTTCTAGACGACATCGAGTTACTTCGACCCACACATGAATTGAATTTCAAGTCTCCAGCCAAAAGACTATCTTGACTGAAGACTTGGGGGACTACTGTTTGTACCATACTTAGGGCCTCCGTATTTAGACATCGTATAAATACTCGGAGGACTCAAATGTAATTATGTAATAAATGAAGGGGCAAATATATAATAAGTGATGAGCTTTTATTCTATAAAAGGACTCATCACTCTCCTCATTAAGGGAGGCCAAGATTCAGGCCAAGATGGAGGCCAAGTTTGAGGCCATGGGAAGAGAGCACACAGAAAATAGGCTAGAAAACACATTGCCTCTAACATTCTTGTATATTCACCATTCAGAGTGAAACAATATCAACATCAGTGTGGACGTAGCTCAAACATTGGGGTGAATCACGATACATCTTATGTTATTTACTTTCTTACAAATTCACGGTCGGATTTACGTTGTTCCAAAACCTCCGGTTTTGTGCATCAACAAATATAAAAAGTCATACAGAAGAAGATGACGGAGATTACGAAGCAGCCATGATGGAAATGACCCAGTCGACGAGGAGGCAAGCCGAAGCCAAAGCCAAATCAGCATCTTCAAAGCCACATCCATGTCATTTACTTTTTCTCAAAAGAAATTGTTTTGTATTATTTTGTATTATTTTATAAATAAATAAAATATTGTATTGCCTATTGCTAGGACTATTCAGTGTAGGAATGAAGATGTAAAAGGCAGTTACTGTTCATTGAAGGAATGGATTAAATAGTGAATAACCTTAAGAACCCTTTCCCACGGTGCGACTGCTCTAAGTGTCAAACATTGTACATCGGTTCGATTGGACATAAATCAATCCATATCGTCCAATAATCTTAGCAGCCAACGAGCCGTATTATTAAGAAATGTTCGAAATGGGACACCATACATTTGTGACCAAAAAGCAGAATGAAAACAAAAGGGCCCAAGCCACGTACAATATCAACAGCACAGGGTACAAGCAGCTTCCTCAAAATTTGACCCCTATAAAAACACACAAACTACAAAATACCACCTGAGAGTGTGACACTGAGTGAGATAATTGTAAAAAAATTTCACACCGCTTCCCTTCCCACTTGGTTTTAAATTTCTGCTGCTTAAGCTCTGTTAACAGCAACGTTTCGGTAAACCCTGCAGCCTACTTGCCTGCCTCTGGAAAACCCTAGCAGTAGCAGTCCTCCTCCTCCAAAGCCTTCCACTTTATGGTAACTCCAAACCCTTTCTCTTTCTTCCGCCTCCCACACGATTTTGTATTTTCTGGGTTATTTCTCTGCTTGTTTTTGCTTCAAGATGCTTCCTTTCAGCTTTCTTTTCATAAAGTTTGATGCTTGTTTGGTTGCTGAGAAAAGGGTAAAAAGAAAGGAAGAGAATTGAGTTGGAGATTTGGGTTTGGGGGTGAGGTGTTGTTTTCTTTTCTTCCTTTCTTGGATTTTCTTGGCAACCAAACAAGGGGTCAGGGGAAAGTGATCACTGGGTGTTGGTATTCTGAGATTTATTGTAAATTTATCAATCAATTGCAGAAACAGAAAAACAAAGTTGTTCCTTTTACATAATTGGATGATTGGAAGTGGTGAAATCAATCCATTTCCTTGTTTGGCATGTTACACTAATGTTATTAGATGTAAATTCACCCGTCTTGCATATTTGGCATTCAAATTGTCTTATCATTTGATGTTGTGAGGAATTCTATGTGCATCTGGTGTTCAATGGACGTAAACTAATGCTTCGATATTTTACTTGTTTGGTTTACATCAAATAATTATGCGTATTTTGGTTTGAGGTAGTGAATTTACTAATACTTCAATTGTCTACTTTGTCTTCTTCGCGATTTCATTTTTTTTGGGATATCTTCTATAAATTTAATACTAAAACATGGAGCTGCATATAGGGCTTAGTTGAATGAGTGGTAGTGTATTTACGCCGTGTTTTGTGTTTGAAAGTTATTTTGGCATCCAAACGCTTGAACAACATGCTATTCCAATTGTTCATCCTTTTTTACGCAATTTTTATGATATTTCAGGTCGTTATTGGTTTTATTGGTCTCTCTGATTTAGCCATCATAGAAAGTTGAAGGGACGATCTCGAGCCAAACAAAAGCTCAGAGTTTAGGTGCATTGAAGTGAAATGAAGATATTGCAGGTTTAGCATCATTTACTTGTATTCTCAATCTGCGAGTCATCGTTGATTTTATTAATGTGACAGACAATGATAGCACCCGAATTTCCCTAACCCAGTGCTGTTGTATGAAAAGCTCTTGGCCGTCTGTTTTTCCTAAGTCATTTCTGTTTGGCCTATGTCGAAAGAAGGAAAAATAGTTAGCCATGCCATAAACCATACAACTTAATTATTTCCCCCTCCTAGCTAGCCTCACATTTTGATGAGTTCAAAACAGTACATTTATTTCATAAGATACTTCTTTGAGTTTCGTATCACTAAGCAAGAGGACTTTCACAGGATAAACAGAAATCAACAGAAAAGCAATTTCCGCATAATGACCGACAAAATGGTGTTAGTGAGGTCCCTACGCTGGACTCTGGTTCAGTATCTATTTCCAGCAACAAGAGCACAAAAGTCACACGTGAAGATATTGAAGTTGTAAGACATTTTTTTTACTTGTTTGAGCTTGAGTGTGATTTTGTTCCAAGGATGAAACTTAATTGCATTATTTTATTCGGTATTCTAATGAACATTGTAGGTCCAGAATTTGATTGAAAGGTGTCTGCGATTGTATATGAACAAAAATGAAGTCGTCGATACCCTGTTAGATCGTGCTAGGATTGAGCCTGGCTTTACAAGCTTGGGTATGCCACTACATTATACCACATAATTTCCTTTGTTTCATCTTCACTTTTCTTCATTGTTCGCAATGCATAAGCATCAGTGTATCACTAGTTGATGGTGCAGAAGAAGATTTTGACTTCGTAGTTATATTGCTGCTATATTTTCCGAATTGATCTAATTGTCATACTTTTTTGTCTGTTTAGTACTGCAGAAATTGGAAGTAGAAAATGCAGAATTTTTCAAGGCTTACTACACGAGGCTAAAGCTGAAAAATCAAATAGTTATGTACAACCGTTTGCTCGAGCAACAATACCAGCTGATGAAACAGCAAGAGCCTCCAGAAGTTCCATTGCCTCCTATGCATAATGGAATGCATTACATGCCTGGTATTTTCTTCGCAGAGAACCTGAATGTTTAGGCACGCGTCGGCGTTTTAAATTTTTGTTTAAGAAAAGACTAGACGCTGCGTTGCATTTTCTATTGCTAATTGAAGTCTATGCCATAAATCTCAATGTACTGTGATCCCTTATTCCTCTTTTGTTTATATTTAGTGCAGTTAACAATTTACCTATGGGATACCCCGTCATGCAGCAGCCTCCATTTCCGTCAAAGGGTCATCACCAAATCAATTCCATGGGCACCATATCGAGTTGTCATTTGGTCAATGGAATCCCTGCTCAAGGAAATTTCCACCATATGCCACTAAACTTATGTCAAGAGTGAGGATTCTATCTCACCACTTTTTTCTTTACTTTCAATTTGTTCTTGCCAATGTTTGACATTCTTATATTTTGTCGGATTAATTTAAACTTGAATCGAGGATTCATGTACATCCGTGTTCAGTAAAGTTTATGTCTGTTCATCCCACGTGCACTACCTTCATTTCTGATATGTTCTTGATCACCCCTGACACAGTGGTATCAAGACAGAGATGGTTTCAAGTCCATCAGTGTCCAATGGCCAGTTTCCTTACACTCCATCAGCAATATCAGTGCTAGGTGCAGACACATCGGCGCTTGACTCTGCATTTCCTTCTCATTTCACAAATTTGGAGAGGTTCGGTATTGGAGCAGATGGTGGAAAGTTATCAGGGCAGGCACCCTGGAATTTCGGGCTTTTTGATACTGCTGGATGGCCAAACTTACCAGGTAAAAACTCTAGAAACAGGAAGCAGTGCAGTATAACTAATTAGAGTTGTTAATAAAAGTTTCATGGAAACCTTCTCGGGTTGTGAAGCCGTCATGTGCTTGTTAACTATTTCCT